TAATTTCGTTGATGAACAAACAAAATTTGTATACCGCCTCAAGTGAAATTTAAATAACTACTGTACGACCATTTGAGCCTGAGACCTGTCAATGTCAGGATAATAATATTTTAGTAATGTTTAATAATATGTTTTGGCATTTGTCAGGTCTCATACTCAAGTGGTCGTACAGTAAGTAGGTTTTTGTTATTAAAAAATGTTTTATTTTATTAGAGTGTTTATTTATTTATTGTTTCATTTTATTAGAATAATGTTTAGTTTATTATTTTCTTTGTTAATCTTTATACTGTTTAAATTTATAAAATGTAATAAACTTATTTAACATTTTACTTCTCTATTATTTACCAACAAATTGTATTTTTTAAATTTATTTTTAAACCTACCGATTTTATCCAAGACCTACCGATATTTTACGATTGGAACTACCGACTTTTAGATTTGTGGGTTGGCAACGCTGAGTGAAACGGATGATTAGTATTGTGCACAATGTTCAATAGAATGTATTTTTACGTGGACAGCGGCGATGAAGAGCCATTTGAAGACAGCGGAAACGAATATTTACCAAGTGAAGATGAAGAGTCTGAAGAAGATGATATGTTAATTGATGAATATCGTAAGAGAGATGTAATGTTAGTAGAAAGTGTAAGTGACGACAGTAATCATGAATTAGAAACCGACCTAGCGACGACAGAAAAAGATTACGCCGATTTGGGGAGACAGTAATTTCGTTCCGACAATTTTCGAATTTGATTCTACAAATAGCGGCATCAGGAATGATTCTTTATCTGAAAATTCCATAGAATTTGATTATTTTGCAAGCCTATTTACCGAAGATATCGTAGAATATATTGTAACCGAAACTAACCGATATGCCAATCAAAATCAGACAAAGGATTAGAAAGAACTTTCAGCAGAAGAATTTTATGTTTTTATTGCTCTAACAATGCTAATGTCTCGAAACAAAAAAAACTAATTTAAAAGAATATTGGTCTACAGATTCTTTGCTCGAGTCTCCAATCTTTTCTAGAACCATGCCTAGGGACAAATATATAAGTATTCTTTGACCAAACATAGCAAACATTTGTTGCCGTACATATACGGCGGTCGTCTGTGCGGCAATAACATCGGTGCTGTCTGAGGGGTAAGCGAATCAATTTTGGAGCCGTCCTTAAAGGGTTAATCTTTTTTTTTTATGATTAACACAACAACAATTAGTTTTATTAGTTTAGGTACATTAGGGTCATTTTCAATGTTAATAATTTTTACATTTATATATTTTTCTAAAAATTTCTTTTTGATATCCCTTAACATAAACGATAGTAAAATCATCCTTAATTTGTTTATAATACCACATGTTTCCTTCGAATCGCATTACTAGCTTTTATAATCTCCTGTCTCACTTTATCTTTCCGTTTGGTGGTTCTTGTTGGAGGCATGATTACTCAGACAGAGAGAGACAGACGGACAGATAGACAGACAGACAGACAGGTAGACGGATGGATGGACGTACAGATAGACCAGTTCGGACTGACATCCGGCTGTTGAATGAAGGATATTTTTGATAAAGTAATGTTTAAATAAGCATGATCAAGGTTGAATGTGATATTCAAATGTTTTCCTATAACGTCCATTGTTTAGGTCTCTATCCTTATCGATAACCAGAAATCCATATTTATCCTTCCAGCATTCGGTACACATTAATTTGAATTTGGCAAATGGTAGAAGGTTGATATTCACGCGATACGGAAGCGATAAGGAAAAATTAAAAGATATTTACAGATTATACAGGGTGAGTCAGAAAGAATGGGAAATCCGAATACCGGAGATACTAGACACCAAAATATGATGATTTAACGTAATATCTCTTATACAAATGTCAGTAGTTTTCGAGGCATAAGGTGTTGAAAGTTAAATTCTTATTTCGAAATTTCTTGATAATTTTGAAGATTTTTGTACTATTAACATAAAATTTGGTAGTTTTATGTTTTCGAGCATAAGAAATACGAATTTGAAACTTGTTTTGTTATTGCTCGTAGAGGGCGCTAGACACGCTGCTCGTTTGATAATTCAAATCATAAGTTTTTTGGCTCGACAGCTACGACCAATAAGAGCTGCAAATCACGAAGAGCATTCAATTTTACATAAAAAAGGTACTCTTATTGAAATTGTCTAAGTCTATGGGTTTTCGAATTATTTACTTTTTAAATGTTTAAATGTATTTTTTCTTCGAAAATATTTATTTTTTAACATAAGCAAAGTTGGGTTATTTTTCCGCTTATGTTTCGACAATTGCTTGGTAATTGTCAACAATGATCTAATTTACTTGTGCAATAATCATTTTTACCAACAATAAAGTTATTACCAATTTGAAAATGCCACGACATAATGAATTTTTTAATAGTGAGAAATCCAGATTTAAGTGCACTGGATTTTTGAAAATGGTCACAATATTCTATTGTTATTGTTATCGATTATAGTCGTTACTAATTGCTATAGTTACTGTGTTATTGATTTTAAATGTTAACCTTAAAATTACTTTGAAACAATGAAAAGCAGATAACTTGGAAACCAGTAGACTTAGACAATGTAAGCAAGAGTAAATTTTTTGTGCAGAATTGAAAACTGGCAAAGAGGAAAGTTATTCATAAACCTTGAAAACAGACAAATCCAAATATGTAAAAATATACAGGGTGTTCCATTTAAAAAAATAAAGTAGGTGGCGACTTCCGGTATGACCGGAAGTGTTAGATATGTGAAAATATTTTAGTCGAAAAGGACACAAATGATAATACTTAAATCTAAATTCTCAGATACAAAAGTCTCTTATGATTCCTATAGGATTCGTGTTAAGGAGAAGAATATTTCTTTCGCAAAACTGGACCAAGAGGAGTGTGAGTTATGTGAAGAATTTAAGCTCCATGGCCACACTAAAGATAACTTTCAAGAAGAATGTAGTGTTTGTGATAAATGGCAATTACATATTAGCCTTGCTGAAAAATCAAGAGAGTTATATCAATAACACGCAAGCCTGCCTTCTATTGGCGATATCGTATACTTTTCCGTTGATCTACAAAAAGTGATTATGCTTCCCCGAATAGATAGCTTCAAAAGAGTTATATTCAGTAAAAGACTTATTGCCTATAATGAAAGTTTTGTTGCTCTGGGCAGTACAAAGAAACTACCACCATTTGCAGTTCTGTGGAACGAATCCATTTCTGGACGAAATAAGGAGGATATAATTAGCGCTTTTTTTGCTTTTATGTTAAGTCAAAGAGATGTCAATCGCTTCCTATTTTGGTTGGATAATTGTTCGTCAGAACAAGAACTGGTGTTTTTTAACATTTTTGGTTAGAATGGTTAAAGGCTCCCCCAAACCAACGCGAAATATTCGTACGAGCAGCGAAGTTTTCGTTGCGATATTGTCGCCGGCTAGACCGTACACGGCGATAAATGCAAGGTCCCACATTGACGCGAATGTTTGGCGTCTTCAATAGTACGTGTCTGCGAAACTGCAGCGATTTTATTTCTAGTCATTGCGTGCACGATTTTTGTCACTATTAGCGGTGTTTTTCGAGTGTATGTTTTTTAAGAAATAGTTAATTTAAAAATTAATATGTCACAATATACAGAAAAACTAATAGAGTTAGTTAAAACATACCCCATTTTATATAATCTCTATCACACGAAGATTACAAAAATAATAGAAAAAAAGATATGGTTTGGGATCAAATTGGCCTTAAATTAAACAAAGACGGTAAGTGTAGTTTCCTTTATTTCGATTATGGGTTACAATAACCAACAAACTTCTCTCGGACATTAAAGGCAATGTTTGTTGCCCGTCTTGAATCATTTAACATAGCAGTAAAAACATTTTCGTGGTTGGTTTGGTTTACTTCTTTTGACAAAACATTGGAAGGATTATCGCATTGTGTCACTCGTAGGAAATTATGCAGAACGCATGCTGTTTTGATAATAAGTATTGTTGTTTCAACTTTAGTTGTAATTGGTTTCAAAAATATCCTCCATTTCTGGGATAGTATCCCAAAAGCATTTTCTACAACCCTTCGTGCTCTACATAACCGAACGTTGTAATTTTCCTTACGAGGACAAAGTTTTGATTGCCGATATGGAAAAGGTCTCATAAGATAAGGTTTAAGGGCAAACGCTTCATCTCCAATCAAAACATGAGGACAAGGTTCATTTTGCCCTGGTAATGGTGTATGATTCGGAACATTAATAAGATTTGCTTCAAACCTTTGACCCATGTTAGAGGCCTCAAAAATTCCGCCATCGCTATTTTTTCCAAAACCACCGATGTCTACACAGATAAATTTGTAATATGGATCGACAATAGCCATTAATACTATTGAAAATTTGTTCAAATAACAAAAATAATTTGAACCTGTTCTATTGGGGCATTTAATTGTAACATGTCTTCCATCAATAGCACCTATGCAATTTGGAAATTGCCACTTTTCTCTAAACCCTTTCGCAGATTGTTCCCAAATTTCAGTTGTAGGTTCTGGTAGATAAATACCTTCCATTTGACTACAGATAGCTTGGCATACTTCTGTTACAATTTGACTCACCGTCTGAAATCCTACTCTGAAAGTATGTCCAATTGTTGAGAAACTATTTCCAGTGGCAAGAAATCTAAAAATAATATGTAAATATCATTCACATTTTGGATAAAACCCTTTAAATTAGTCGTATTAGTATTGTTTATATTTTTGATTAAGACCTTCAATATTAATATTAAATCATCTTCAGGTAGTGATGTAAAAAAGAAATGGAAAAATCTAAGAGACACATATATGCGGTACTTAAAAAATAATAAACCGAAAACAGGACAAGAGGCAAGCACAGGCAAACACTGGCAGTGGTCCAATTTCATGGAGTTTTTTCGTCCTTTTTTGGCATTTGCTAAGACTTCATCGAATGTTAAACAAATTTCAGACACCGATCATCCACAAAGGGAGGCTGAATTTGAAGTTGCTAATGATGACTCGAATTTAGATGAAATAATCAGCGAATCAGAAGAAACAATGGCACAAGATATAACCAACCGTAATATTAGCTTACAATCAGAAGTTGTGGCATTGAAGAACTGTGCAATTCCATCGCTAACTACGTCCACAGTGAAGAAAAAGTTAAAGAATGAATTAAAACCTACCACATCGGTACAATCACTAATCAATTATTTCCAAACGAAAAGAAAACAACCAGAATTGGATGAAATAAGACATGTTGTTTTTGGCCCATGCTAAAACCATAAAGACGTTTTCTAAAAAACGGCAGGTGATGGCGAAAAAGGAAAGTTTCCCAGGTGATATTGCAACAGGAACTTGAAAACCTGGAGGAATCGTCAACACATCAAACTCAATGTAACAGTAGTTCCGTTACTTCCANGATGTGGTCAAGGCAGCTACCAGAACACTTCCAATTCCTAAAACTACCGGCGGTTTTTTACACTTAATTCCACTATTCGCCGGCTTGAGCGCTGTTGGCAGTTTAGCAGGTGGTGCGGCCGGTATAGCAACCACTGTCAACAAGGTAAAAGCCTCTCGGCATCAATTGAACGAATCAAAACGTCACAATAAAATTGTCGAGGAAGCAATAACCCGTTTGGGAACCAAAAACAACAAAGAAGGTAACGGCCTCTACCTTAAACCGTACAAACAAGGAACGGGATTGAAAAGACAATCGAGAAAAAACTAATTGAGCGACTGCCTCTCCGACCACTTTCTAATTATGACATTTCCGAGATAGCTAAAAATATACATGGTTTTAGGGGTGTATTCTTAAGAGACACTTTACCGGATTCTCCCAGAAAGAACGAGTGCGCAGTCGTTAATTTAGATTCCAAGTTAGGACCGGGTACGCACTGGGTAGCCTACGTAAAACGTGGAAATCGAGTGGACTACTTTGATTCATTTGGAAATTTGAAACCACCTATTGAATTGATAAATTATTTAAATGTTAATGAGAATGTATGCATTTTTTATAATCACGAAGCGTTACAAACTTACGATCAAATCATTTGTGGTCATTTATGTTTAGAATTTTTAATAAATAATACTTAAGAACACCTTAAACGATTAGTTTCATTCAACCTGCTGTTAGAGAAACATGTCACACACGTTTACGTTAACTGGTACAGGTCCTACATTGTCTGCCGATTTTTTCCACCCATAGAATTAAATTCCAAAGATAATTACGCTTTGGGGTTAATTGGGTTACACACGTACAATTCAATACCGAACGTTGTTGAGGGTGCGAATAACTTTTACTACGATGATGATGATAAAGTTATTGAGATCCCCGTAGGATCGTATGAGATAAGCGACATTGAGGACTATTTGACGAGTTTCTTAGATAAAGGATCTATTTCTATTAAACCCAATAATAATACATTGAGATGTATTACAAACAGTAAATACCGAATCAATTTCAAAAAGTTGAATTCTATAGGAAAAATGTTGAGATTCAGTAGTAAAATTTTGGAAGCCGGTCAAGAACACGCTTCAGATTTACCGGTGCAGATTATAAAAGTTGTAACTATACGTATAGAGTGTAATATTACAACAGCAGCTTACTACAACACACGTCTGGTGCATACGCTCTACGAATTTGCTCCACAAGTCGAACCGGATTATAGTATTAACATTGAACCTCACCACGTCATTTACCTACCTATCAATACAAATAAAATCGATAATATAACTCTTACTATAGTAGACATAATTTGCCGGTTCTGGACCGGAAGTGCTCCCCCTGCTACCCCTGATCCTGCGCATGCGCGCCGGAAGTGACGTCACGAGCATCCTTAAGGATCCTTAAGGATCGAAGGATCGGTCGGCGGTGGCGCCACCTAGCGGTGCATCCTTAAGGATCGAAGGATCGGTAGACGGTGGCGCCACCTAGCGGTGCATCCTTAAGGATCGAAGGATCGGTCGACGGTGGCGCCACCTAGCGATGCATCCTTAAGGATCGAAGGATCGGTCGACGGTGACATCACCTAGCGGCGGACGGCGGAACTAAAAAAGCGGCGGATAGCGGAACTAAGCAGAAAGAATAATTTCACACGCAGCCATTTTTTTAAAATGTACCTGATGATCGATAGATGGCGCTGTCATAATGAGAGTTCTGGACCGGAAACGATCCTTAAGGAGCAGGGGGAGCAATTTAAGTTATTTACATCTTTATTACAATGCGATCAAGAAAGCCGGTCCGCTAAAAACTACTTTCCCAAGCGCTTGATACCNTATACCGATTGGTAACTTTAATTTTAGGAGATACACCCAACACGGACGTACGTATAAGTATACGTGTGTGTGTATATTCGGTGTCGTTAAGTGGGGGATAAACAAGCGTAGGGGTAATGCACAAATTGAATCGTTCATAGATTGTTGAGAGGCGAAGTTGGTCGCATCGCTTTGCAGTTAACCCTAGCAAAAGAAAACTAAGATGTTGTTTACTGTAGCGGAAAAGGTACAGATTATAAAATGGTTTTATGGTGGCAATTCTGTAGCCCAAATAATTAATTTGTTTCCTGTGGCCTATGAAAACAGATCAATTCCTAGTCGCGGAACAATTTCAAATATTATTAAAAACTTTGAGCGACATGGATGTGGGCCATACAAAAAAAAAAAAGAAAGATATAGTCACTTTTAAGGATAGGGAAAAGCCATTTTTTTTGTAAACAATGGAGAGTAATTTAGATGTACGACGATTAACCGCGGACGCGTTAAGATATGAGCTTAGAGTTAGGGGCGTTACTGAACAGTTGGCGCATGATGAAATGCGTCATTCATTGCGAAAATTTATTCGGTTAGAGAAAAACGCGAGCTTTACATTGCCAGAGTATCCGTTCACATTCGCACAGGACTCGAAAGCAATACGAGACGATCTAACGAAGGTAAAGGCTAAAATAGATGATTTTATGGGAATCGCGACATCTTCCGAATTTAAAAGACTTAATACTTGGTTGAATTATTTGCTGGGGCGTGCTAATCGAACTTTACCTAAAGACGCGGATGAGATACAATTGAAAACGGAATTTATTTCTGAAATTGTCACATTGTCATCGCGATTAGAATTGAAAGCTAGAGCTGCTTCTACACCTACTCGGGCCGCAGTAAATATTAGTACGGTTAATTTGAATGAGGACTCGAGTTTAAGAGTATCTAGTGATACTTCTTCGGACGAGGGTGATGCTAATGGCGGGGTTGCTGGACCTTCAAAATTGATTTCTGTTGCTAAGTGGGGAATTTCTTTTGCTGGGAACGGTCGTTGTTCGTTAAATGCTTTTTTGGAGCGGGTTAACGAATTAAGATTTGCAAGGGGCGTTTCAAAGTCGGTTCTTTTTGTTTCGGCTGTGGATTTATTTAGCGATCGAGCACTTATTTGGTATCGTGCGAATCGTGATAGTTACGCGTCGTGGGACCAATTAGTAGAGGGTTTAAAACTAGAATTTCAACCTATTGACTATACGATGATAGATTATTTGATGAAATTAGACATCGAACACAGGGCCCTACTGAATCGATCGGAATCTATGTATCCGTGATGCAAAATCTATTCTCGCGATTGAATACCCGAATACCGCAAAGTACGCGAATAAAAAAAATAATGCTAAAGAATTTAACACCTGCATTTCAACGGCAATTATCATTGGTAGACGTGGCTTCGGTGGATCAATTGTTGCAACTTGGACGGAAGTTAGAGGGTACCAAACTCTCCGTTGATAGCTATGCGCCTCCTGTCCGTGCTACTAAAACGCTTGAACCGGATTTAGCTTATGTACAAGTAGACGCGGTAGAGTCGGCTACTGAATCGAATAGAAACGAGACACCATTAAATTCACCGATTTGTTGGAATTGTCGAAAAACCGGACACAGGGCAAATGATTGCAAAGCGCCGCGAAAGTTACATTGTTTTCGTTGCGGGGTAATAACTCGAAATTGTGTTAAGTGTTCGGGAAACGGGGTAGTGAGACGACGATAGGTCGGTGTCGATCTCAATCCTCAGGAAAGCCGATCGGAGTTATCTTAGATTTTATTTTTGCTTGTACCAACGGAGACGAACATCCATATTTATTAGTTGATATCCTGGGAATAAGAATCGCGGGCTTGTTAGATTCGAGAGCCAGTAAAACTATCGCGGGTGAAATCGGCATTCGAATGTTGAGAAAATTAAAATTACCAATTAAGAAAATGGATACACGATGCACGGTTGCAAATAATGAAAGTTGTCAGGTTGAGGGCGCTGTAAGTGTTCCGATCGCGGTCGAAGGTCGGAGTAAAATCGTAGAAATACTATTAGTACCAGAAGTACGGCATACTTTGATATTGGGAGTGGATTTTTGGCGTAAAATGTGAGTAGTGCCTGACTTAAGACGCGGCGAGTGGACCTTTTCATGTGACCCTCCGAAAATATCGGTTGACGCGATTCAGGCTCAGGTTGAATTAGTGATTAGTATTAGTGATCAAAATAAATTATCGTTATTTCCGGATCGGGTTTTTGACGCGAATTCGGAACATAT